GACCCTCTCCCTCCTTCCCGCCCTCGTCCCGTTGCTCCTCGCCCCCGTCTTCGTCGTCCTCCAGCTCCTCCTCCTCCTCACCCTCCCCTCCTCTTCCTCCTCCTCCTCCTCCTCCTCCTCCTCCTCCTACCCCTCCCCCCTCCTACCCTCCTCCCTACTCCTCCTCCTCCTCCTCCTCCTCCTCCTCCTCCTCCTCTCCTCCTCCTCCTCCTCCTACTCCTCCTCCTCCTCCTCCTCCCTCCCCCCTCCCCCTCCTCCTCCTCCTCCTTCTTCTTTCTCCTTTTAAGGCATTTCGCCCTGTCACACCCCGAAGCCAGTTTTAGGGCGGGCTGGACGTTTCGCCTACGACTTCCTCACCATTCATGTTCCCGAAGCTTTAAAGTTGACAACAGTTTCACGGATGTGTGTGTGTGTGTGTGTGTGTGTGTGTGTGTGTGTGTGTGTGTGTGTGTGTGTGTGTGTGTGTGTGTGTGTGTGTGTGTGTGTGTGTGTGTGTGTGTGTGTGGGGGTCGTTTTTTTTTTTTTTTTTTTTTTTTTTTTTTTTTTTTTTTTTTTTTTTTTTTTTTTTTTTTTTTTTTTGTTTTTTTTTTTTTTCTCCTCCTCCCCCTTTTAACATCTATTTTTTTAGATAAACAACAAACATTTATTTTTTTCCTTTTACGTCTTTCTTTGTTATATATGTATATATTTTACCATTATTCTAAGACATATGGCTCTTGCCTTAGCGCCGCGCACATTAGTGTTATATATATATATGTTATATATAACTGCAATCGTTTCAAGGGTTGAGGACGAGTCGTTTTCAACATGTAGCTCTCGCCTTAGCGCCGCGCTCATTCGTCTTAAACATCTGCAGGAGTTTCACGGGTTTAGGGCGGTCCATTTTCAACAGGTGGCTCTCGCCTTAGCGCAGCGCGCATTCATCTTAAAACACTAAAAGGGTTTCACGGATTGAGGGTGGTTCCTTTTCAAAATGTGGCTCTCGTCTTAGCGCCGCGCACATTCGTTTTAAACAGTCCAAGGGTTTCATTGGTTCAGGGCGAGTCGTTTTCAACATGTGGCTCTCGCCTTAGCGCCGCGCGCAGTTGTTTTAAACAGTTGCGGAATTTTAACGGATCGAGGGCGGCTCCTTTTTCAAACAGTGGCTGTCTCCTTAGCGCCGCGCACGTTCGTTTAAGACAAATGCAAGAGTTTCACGTGGTGAGGGCAATGGCTTGTCATACTGTGGTTCTCACTTTACCGCCGCGCACATTCGTCATCAGAAGTTGAAGAGTTTCACGAGTTCCCATGGTCAACGTACCAGAACTTGCGTTTTGGAAGGGTTCAGGCTTATGAGGGTGCACAAGTTATGTTGGTTCGCTGTGTTCAAGTTCCAGGGATGGCGTTCTGGCACGATTCAGGATCGTCAAGACGCAACAGTCAGTTTGATCCGTGGCGCTGGAATCCCGAGAACAATGTTGCGGCATGATTCAGGGTCGTCAGCACAGGGGTCTTCCAAAGGGACAGTTCCCCAACATGAACCGTTGTAGGGGCCTATGGAGAGGAAACTTCTTTGATGCCGCTTGGGTTTACACTGGTCCTCCTCCCCCTCCTCCTTTAGCTTCCCCTCGTTCTCCTCCTCCTCCTCCTCCTCCTCCTCCTCCTCTCCCTCATCCTCCTCCTCCTCCTCCTCGTCCTCCTCTTCCTCCCTTTCCACAGTGACACTCTCGAAACACTGCTCTCCTCCTCCCTTGACTCCGTCCGGGAAATGGCGGACTCTTTCCGCGGCCTGTCTTTTATCACATGATTTCAGAAGCTGATGTTTCTGAGGTTTATCGTTCCCGCTGCAGCTTTGGTCTCGTTTTCGCATCGGCGCTTTGCTCCCTTCGATCAGAATGGCGCTCTCGCCCCAGCGCGGGCCACTTCTGGATCCGAGTCCTTTTTCATCGTTGTCGCCCCCCCGATTTCCCCTCCTCCTCCTTTCCCTGGTCCTCCTGCCCCTCCCGCTCCTTCCAGGCCAGTTCCTGCTGCTGCTGTATGTCCTCGCTTTCCTCCTTCCACATCTTTCTAAGTTTCCTCCTTGCCCTCCTGCTCACCCGCCATCTCCCATACACGCAGCTCCCCTTTTGCGATTGTGCATAACACGATTGTTGTTATTGTTTGGAGTTCCAGGTTCCATGTCGGCTATGACACGCGCCCGCGGATCGAGAACGCAGCGCAATGGGAATGTATCGGAGGGAGCGATAGGATATCAGATGTGGCGCGAGCGCACCCAGCTTACCCCACCGTCCCCCATCTGAAGGAACCACTCGTGGTGGAGGCGCTCGACAAACACAAATGCTTCGACTATCTCGTCACGAACTTACGCCTCCACGTCGCAGTCGACGCAGGGAGTCCACCAGACACCGTCCAAGTCAGAGGGTCCTTCTACACCGACCACCAATGATACATCCGCGTGGGTTGAGTTTATTCGAACCCCCTGGAGCGCACCGTCGGTCTCCCCCAAGGCAGGTCCTTCTCATTCGGTGACATCAAACTCCTCATGTGTTTCTGGGCCAAACGACAGCACAGGCACGTGCCACGCTCCCTCAGCTCGACGTTCGTTGACGCCAGCAACTCCACTGCTCCCACGGCCAGGGAACTACAGGCGTCGCTGGAGGAAACCGTCCTCTTCGACCGCCTCTCGGGCCACAGAGTCCACCCAGACAAATGGGGGTATGTGCCGTCGGGGGAAGAGCTCTATCACCAGGTGGCAGCCCTCAGCCCCAACGGTCAGACGCTCAAAGCTCACCACCAGGTGGAACTTGTGGGGAGCTACAGTAACGTTGGGCCAGCCGCGGACGGCACGGACTTCGACCTCCCTGCCACCGCCAGTGCCCGAGTCCGCCGCGACGTGGCCAGACTCCCCCGCATCGGGTGCCTCCCCGAAGGAGCTTGCGCGAGAGCCCGCTGCGCAAAGTCCCTGGTAGCAAGCATGTGCGCCGCTGGCACTACTTCCCAGCAGCCAGCGCGAAACTACGAGACCTGTACGACAACGCGTTAGTTACTGCCATCCACCCCCAAAGGACGATCGTCGATATCCCAGTGGGCCCTGTGCGCCCCCATCGTCTCAGACCGTACCTTGTAACGCGACGCCATCACGCAGCGAGGGGCCCTCCTTGGAGTGCGCAGATGGTGCGACGAGAACCAGTCTCAACGCCAAAACCCAAACTGTCCGTGACCACCGGCAAACCTTCCAAGTTGGCGTCCCCGAATGCAGAGTCTGGCAAACAATTGCCCAAGTAGAACGGAGCTGGCCAGCCTAGGGCACGATGTGTGACGCTTTGGTCCCGCAATTTTGGAGGCGGCGCCCGCCCATTGGGATGTTCACTCACGTGCTCAGAGCTTCACAGAGGTGGACCTTCCTCCGACGAGTTCCCATAACCACGCGAGATCTGGGAGCGGTCGCGGCCATCGAACAAGGCTTCGACTACTTCGCCAGCATTTGGCTTCAGATAACTACAGGCAGAGGCCCATGTACCGCATCGCAACTCGACCTCCTGCGTCATTACCTTTGTGTGTGGTGACCACGCCCAGCAGAGGAAAGTTCGGGCGTGAATCTCGGCCGACCCGTCGCCGCTGTGCCGCTGCTGTAGCCGAGGCGCGCGCCATCTGAAGATGTCCGCGCTGGGCCGACGAGCGAAAGGCCCTGGCCACCGTGATCCCTGAGGAACGCTGGAAAGACATCCCGCCGCGCGCGCGGGCGGCACTGTGGGCTCCTGAAACCTGGAAGAGGACGTCACTGACCTCGACCTGCTGGCCGCCCTTGCCCACGACGAACTCCCGCAGCCCATTCCCAGGCCGCCGCCAGAAGGCCGTGCGGAGGACCAGTTCGAGGAATGCACCGACTCAGCCGCGGGGGCTTGGTGGGCTTGCGCTGTCACTCACAGGGCGTGCTCGCGCCGGGCCCGTCGCCTCCTCGCCAGGGCAGGGTTTGGCGAGTACTGCGGACCAGGGCATCGGCTGAACCACTCTGCCCGAGTCCGCGGCCTGGCGCAGCCAGCGCAACGCGCCGAGACCCTGGCGCTCCTCCACCGCGCCGCCCTATCCGAGAGGCCCGTTCGCATCCTCGTCGATGGTCAAGTCGTCCTTGGCGGGTTCGGAGCTCCCTTCGGGGGCAATCCCACGCCAGCCACGGGCCCGCAAGCCGACCTCTGACAGAATCCATCCAGTGATCCAAGCCGAAACCGATATGTTCAAGGTTCAACAAGTCGCAGGCCTCCGCGAGGAGCAAGGGATCAACGAAGGCCGTCTCTCACCAATCGCCGAGGCCTTCAATCGTCGCGATGATGTGCATGTAACAGCGGGGGCCCGCGTGTACTCTGTGCCACAGGGCGTCATCGATGCGGCCGAGTGGCAGTGTCAATTCGCGACTGTCCTCGGCCTCGCAGCGGTCGTGATGCGTCTTCGCCGCGCGCTTCCGCTGCCTGACAGAAGAGCTGGATGCTCCAGGTCGGGACTCCGCCGGATCAAACCCAACCCTCTCGCTGCAGGGGGCGGCGGGGATGAGCCGCCGTGCCCGCCGAGTCACTCGCTCCGCTTCCAAGGCCCAGCAGGGCCAGGGTACTGCTGCGAACTTGACGATTCACGGGGCGCCCCCACGACAATTTCGACGACGCAGAGGGGGGCCATTCGGCCTAGGGGGGGGAGCGACGACGACGGTGATGTCGCGACCGTGACGGTCGCGACGCGCGCGCCGATAGCCCGCCTCCACGCCCATGCAGGCGCATGGCGACGGCGACCCAATGCAGACAGCAACGCCCCAGGGCACAATTGCGCCAGCAACGCTATCCGCCTGGAGAGGGTCTGCGCGCAGTAGGCGAGAGGTCGCGGACTGCGTCTTAGGGGCCAGCCAGTGCAACCGCGCGCGTGGTCCCCCAACGCACCGATTCCTGCCGCCGGGCAAATCCCTCGCCCCGTCAGGGAAATGGGATTACTGGCCCTAGTGCCGCGCGTCAGGGTGCAGGCGCCCACGCGACCGT